GACTCATAGCGACCCCTCCTTGGGTTTCCGAGGCAGTATCACTACGGAAGTAGGATTGCCCAACCTTCCTTCCGAGGAGGAGTGGCTGGTGAGTTTGAACCGCCAACCTTCTAGTGAACAGTCAAGTGCCTTAGGCACTATGCTACCAGAGACTTAGAAATCTGCAAACGTGGATGAGAACAAAGCAGAAAGGCCTACACACACTCACCTACCTTCTCTGTCTGCCTCTTTCAGACACACACACGCACTCACGCACGCACGCAGCACGCGTGCTTTGAAAGTTGATAATACTGTCAGTTTTTGCTTTAAATAACAATGTTTGTCATCTTGACACAGATAAACTTGTTTCTGCTTTAGAGAAAAAAAGAAAAGAAAGTAAGTAACTCAGCTTCAGAGGGTTCATTTACAAAGTATTTTGGAGTTATGCAGTGCACACAACCTGCCCAGCTATAGCCACTTTAGGGGACATGGAGCAGGCAGGTAAGGTAAGCAGGCTGCTAGACCTCATTCGTCCTCCATTGCTAAAATAAGGAGGTTCAGGGGATGAGGCGGGGAGTGGAGGACTTTGATGTCTTTTCCTCTTGGACTGGGCAGCCTTCCTTTATTTTCCCCTCATATCTTTCAGGTAACTCCCTACCTGGCCTCCCCCAGTTCCTCCACCCCAGCTCTTCCTAGACAAGGAAGTCACTTTCTTTGTAGGACAAATCTAACCTTACGGGGGGCAAAAATCACAATATAGCTGTAGATCTTTAAGTATGAAGAGGAGGACAAGAGGAGAAGAGGGACAGGGTGGGCTTGCTCACTACTTTCATTAAGGACTGTTTTCCCTGAAGTCATTCCAGCCCTCTGCCCTCCCAGGAAGGACCCACTTGAGTGGTTGCCTGTGCAGGGGTCTCTCCTTCTTGCCAAACCCTTCCCTCTTGCTTATTTTTCCAGTTCAGTTACAATTTCTTTTTGCTCTTTTAAAATACTTCTTAAGTCATTTCCATGCACCCTGGGAATGGGGGTGGGATGGGGAAGCAAGGCTTCAGAATCCCATAGGCAGTTTCTGAGTCAGATCCTACCCCCCCAGGTCCAACCTTCTTGAAGAAATGAATAGGCACTTCTCCTTCTCAAAGGGGCAGAATTCAGGCTAGGATGGCTTCTGCTGCTGGCAAACAGTGACATAGTGTGAGTAAGCCAGGGCCACAGTGAGTCACACAGCAAGGAAGGTGGCCTCCTCCACTCACCACCCAGAGCAGGCCCAGGGGTATGTGAGGTGGGGCTGGAAGAGCTGTGCTATTCACATAACCTGGACCATAACCCAAAGCTGACTGATTAAAAAATATATACATACAGATTTCTGCCCCTCCCCATGCCTCACCCAGTTTCCTATTCCAGAGGTCTGAGTGATCAACAGCTCTGGCTGTCCTCCTGGGATTTGAATCCGAGCTCCTCACTCCGCAGCTGTGTGACTTTGGAAAAGTTACTTAACCTCTCTGAGTGTTAGTCTTCTCATCTGTAAAGTGAAGCTATGAAGCCAGTTATACAATACCTACCTTTAAGGTTGTTGAAGGAGCTCTGGTGGTATAGTGCCTAGGACATTTGACTGCTAACCAGAAGGCTTCCTTGGAAGGAAGATTGGGCAATCTACTTCCATAGAGATACCTCCTCAGAAATTTGACTTCATGGCAGTGAGTTTGTTTTTTGGTTTTCTAAGGTTGTTGTTAGGAGCTCTGGTAGCATAGTGGCTAAAGCACTTGACTGCTAACCAGAAGGCTGGCGGTTCAAACCCACCAGCCACTCCTCGGAAGGAAGGTTGGGCAT